CCGTCCCCTGAGCAATTATTCTGGCTTCTGCCATAGCAGACTCAATTTGTCCTGCAATAAGTACAATTTTCTGAGAAGTTAGTTCTGGTTCAAGCACTAATGATCCACATCTGTGCAGTGTAGTTGTTGTTTTGGGGAACGGTTGTGAGCCACGCTGTTGGAGAGAGCTTTAGGTTGCCATGCAAAGAGCATATTATGTGGGGCATTCAGATACTGCTCTGTGTGCTGCTGGGACAGCTAGGAGAGAGAAGGGTGGTGTAAAATAGGCAACAGTCTCCAGCATATGGATTCTATATTCTTTCTGAATATGGAATTATAGAATCATGATGGTTGGAAAAGACCTCTCAGATCCCCAAGTCCAACCCCAGCCCACCCCACCTTGCCCACTGACCACAGCCCTCAGTGCCACATCTCCACAGCTCCTGAATCCCTCCAGGGATGGTGACTCCATCACCTCCCAGGGCAGCCTCTGCCTCTGCAGCACTGCTCTTTTGGAGAATAAATTATTATGTGTTCAGTGGTACGAAAAGGGCATAAACAAACAGCATGCCAGCTGCAGATAAACCCTGTATCCGTGGTGGCTCTTGGCGCAGGAGATGAGTAAATTTTATTAACATTGTCATTTCCAATCCACCACATCATAAAGGACTTGGACGTTTTCTATTATAGTTGCAGATCTACCTTAACATCACAAAAGCACAATGCGGGAAATTAGATATAAACTGAAAAATAATTAAAGGCCTGGTGACAACTTGATAATGTTGGGTAATTAAAGCGTTGGTAACAAATCCTGAATTTTAATTTTTCTTGCAGTAGCTGATACTAGAAATCAAGATCAAAAGTACATTATCTGTAGGAAAGCTCACTTGCTTATGTGTTGTTTAAAGAGGAAAGGGAAAGAGATGAAAGCTGGAGCTTTACTACAGTCCAGCAACAGATGAAAATGTGCTGGAGCTGAGCTTTGCCTTTGTGGAGACATTGGGTGGTGGTCATTTCACAACCCATCACATCTGCCCAGCAATCACAGCCCTGCTAGAGGAGTTGGCCCAAAAACTGCTTTGGGGTAAGGAAATGAGATTCTGGGGCTGAATGGGAGAATAAGAGCAATGGCCTGCCATTGCCCTGATGCCCACAAAGGCATCTTTTTCCTCTAATAAGAATATATGGTATTAATAGTTTGACATTGTGTCAAACATATGTTTAAACAACATCACTGGAGTCCATAACTGTATCAGAACTACAAAGAGCACCAGAGGATGAATGCAGAGAGGCATTTTGGCTCTGGTAGCATGCTTAGCTCTGTTATCTCCTCCACTTCTGATCCCTCGTTTGCTATCTCAGTGTTTCCCATCCCACCTGACACCTTGTTTGTGGTATTGCTATTCAGCCCTCACTTGGGCTTGCAGCAAATATCAAGTTGTAAGCAGCAAACAGAAGGAGGTGGTGTTTTGGTAGGACTGGGACATGGGGATGTCCATGGAGCTGACACCTGGCTGCCTTCCCAGAGAGGAGACTACAATGGAACAAAGCACAAACACCCCACAAAGTGCAGACTGTGCTCACAGAAACCAGGTTTGGCTTCTCCTGCCTCTGCCAGAGCCGAGCAGCACAGTAGCAGATTGTAAAGGGACTCAGGGCCCTGCAACTCTATCAGTTTTGATCAATTTTTCAGCCAAGTTAGTAATACACCGGAGAGCGTGTCAACATGCTTTATGGAGGTCTGCAAGTGCCTACCATGGCTAATCCATAACGCTCAAATGGTTTCCTGGAAAACAGACATTTCGTTGTCACCATGAGGAGACTGCTAAGCAGTGGGGGAGAAAAATAGAGGAAAACCACGGGGCTGCTGCAGGCACTGCAGTGTGGGGCATGGCTTAGCAGCAGCACCCAAGGGACTGGCACTGCTTGGGGAAGCAGGAGACCAACGGCGCTTCTCTGTTTAATGGAAACTGGCAATCAATTTTTAGCAGCTGGTGGAGAAGCAATTTAATTCACAAAACAGTTTCCCTCCCATTCCTCTGCCCCCCAGGTCTGAAATCATGCTATGAGCTGATGGCTTAAGCTGCTTGCTTTAGGCGTAATGAGTAAGTAGGACATTTAGTCACTTAAATACGTGAATGGTTCTCCTAAGTATTCTGGTTTTATCAGTCTGTAATAAAATTATTTTGCTTTCAGAGTTGTTACCAAAGCCTTTTCTGAGGTGGTTGTTCAGAATGGGGCACTCCAACTACCCTTCCCCTACCCACCAGCTGCTGAACGCTTACTTGAAATTGCTGTTAAGTGAGCCAGTGCCTGGACCTCTTCCAAGGCATCCAGGGGATCTCTGAGCTCCCTTCCAGCCTGGGTTTTTCCATGGTTCCATGATCCCATGATTCATCTTCCATGTTCTGAACGCTTTGGGTGTCCCACAACACTGCAGAAGCTGGAGATTTATTATTACCGTTTACCCTTAGCAAATTTACCCTTACCAAATGTACAATTAAAGATGTGCTAGGAGAGCTGGGACCCACCTCTGCGCATCCCACAGCATCACTCCTGTACAGTGTGCTCCTGTATCACAAATGTGCTCATGGCATACATCTGCCCTACAGACCAGAACTGACTGTGCCACTGTCAATCCAGTCTTTCTCATCTACTTTCTCTTCTTATTTGTAGGACAATAACTGGTCTCAAAGGAGGAAGAAAATATTGCCTGGAGATCTGACTGCTGACCCTGAGGAAAATCTCCTGACGTTTTTTCACGGTAACTGTTCCAAAGTGTGGCCATGTGCAAAGATTACCAGTTTCCTGAAAACCATTTTTTTTCTCCCACTGTGTTTAATATAAAATACTTTTCTACAGCCTACAAAAGAAGGCTAATCCGAAAAGTGAAAGCCAAGTCCTTTGCTCTTCCCTGTGCTGAGCCTCAATGGAGAGAAACACACTCCCCTAGCAGCAAGCACGTCGTACTGCTGTACTGCTGACTGCAGCCTGGCTCATGCAGGACAGGCGGGCAGCGAGCGATCTGCTGCCAAATGACCTCTGTCAGCACTCAGAAAGAAAAAGACAACAGCCACCTGTGATACCAGGAAAGGCCAACCTCAACTAATGGGAAGCCAAGGGAAGAGAAGGAGCGGAAAAGCGTCCTTGCATCACCATCTAGTGGTCTCTGTGTTCAGCAGAATAAATGCAACACCCGTAGGTCCTTTCTTGTGGATGATTCCTCTGTTAACCATGTTATAATCTGCCAAAAGGTGGGAGAGAACAGTGCTGGGCTGTCAAAGCACCTGGATGTGATGTATTTCTGCAGTACAGCTGTAAATGATTCAGTTTTCTGCTGAATGTACCTTGGGAAGGGGATAGTTCTCCACAGCCTGGTTCTGCTGACTGTCTACCAGGGACAGACCCCAGCAATCCTTTGCTCTTCTGTACACCACTTCTTGCCCTGCTCTGGGGTGAGGTGTTCTGAATTCTGCTGATGAAGTGCCGTGAGCAGGTCCCAGCCCTTCCCAGTCTGCAGCTGCTTTGTGCTGGAAGCAGCACAAGAACATAGGAATTGAAATTCTGAGCATATTTTTTCCTGTTGAAATCCTGTGAGGTACTGAGAGTAAAGGGAACACTTTACCATAACTGTCTTTGCTCTCAGATATATATATTTTTAATGCTTAGTGGTCTGTAGAGCAAAAGCTGGTCAGGCCTTGAATCAAACAGCCCTTCTCGAGGTGGCCATGTCAGACTCCCCTCTGCCCTCGCCTTCACTCTGTGATTACAGCTACATGAGATGTGACCTCTAGTCAAACAGTCTGACAAAGGGTGTTTTTAGTGCTCTAAAAGAGCTGTGCCATCAGCCAGCCTTTAATGGAAAGGCAGAAAGGGTGTGTTAAAAAAAAAAAGATTTCCATGTTTCAGTTCTGGAGGAGATGGGTCATGAGTTTCCAAACTACAAGGCTTGCAGGTATTTGGTGGTGCAGATCCAGGGGCTTGTCTCTGCAGTCTGATGGAGCAGGAGGGGGCATGGCACTGTGCGGGTGATGCTGAGCCTTGTGGAGCCCTGGAGGACCAGCAGCTGTGCGGGGAAACACAGAAACACAGCTGCTTTGTCTTCCTAGAGGAGCAGCCTTAGCTTTAGACATCGCCCTCAGAATCCAAAAACCTGCCTTCCTATTTGCACGAAACACACAGCTCAGCGCAGCTCTAGCCAGCACCTTGCCAGCACACCCCAAAGCACAACATGCCCGGCTGCCTCGAGGGCTGGCATTGCAGCAGGGCCGTGCACAAGGCCCTCTTGTCCCCTGTGCTGTTGAACAAAGGCTGCTGCTGTGCACTAATGCCAGCTCGGCACTGGGCCGGGTGACGGGGCGGGCAGGGATTAGCTTCCAGTGAGCACACTGAGCTCTCAGCACCTCGCAGCTCACAGACGCTGGAGGTTCTTCCTCAGCTCCTGCTGCTTCAGAAAGGTTTGGTTGTGGGATGCTCAGGGCTGCACGGCGTGGGCAGTGCTTCCTGTGGGGATGGGATGGGAGGAGTGCAGGTGGTGGGGGACTGCGGGATGGCTTTGGTGGGGAATGTAGGGGGCCTGGCTGTATGGCTCCCGGTGGAGCAGAGACATGGGATCCTGCCCTGTGCCCACTCTCCTCTCTGGGGACAGCTGGGACTTCGGATGTTGGCAGGAAGCAGTGCAGGGCTGGGAAGTGGAGAAGGAGTTCAAAGCAAATTAAAAAGCAAATAAAATAGCCCCTGGGTCTGCCCGGTGGTGGCTGACATCCCTCAGCCACTTCCACTGCAGTTGTAAAGGCTTTACACTCTCTGTCCTTTTATTTCCCCTTGAAAACACCACAGCTCCCTGCCCAGGCATTTCCCGTGTCACTGTCTGTACGAGGAGGACGGCGTGGCAGACGTCACCGCTTGGGCAGGGCTCGGGTTTCCCCTCATCGCTCAAGTGACGCTGCTGTCCCAACAGGTGCTGGCCAGAGGCCACCACCAGTGTCCCCAGAGGTCGAGCAAGAGGCTGGTGCTGGTGGCAATGCTCACCTAGGAGCCGGGTGACACGCCGGCCTCCACGCCGTGCCACGAGCACACGGCCAGGCTGAGGGAACCCTGGCACCAGCCCACAGCATGGAGCCCAACCCTGAGATGAAAAGGTAGGTGTGGTGGGGAAGGGGTCCCTGTGTCATGAGCAGCCATGTGTGATTTGAGAATAAAAGCACGTGTGCCCGCATCCTGGGAGGGATGGGGGTGAGGGAGGCTTTGTGAAGAGAGACCTCCTGTGTTTACACGTGATGGAAAGACAGAGATCCTGGGCTCGTGCTTCAGGGCTCCATTCAGCCTCCAGGGATGCAGGAGAGGGACTCTTGTGCCTCTGTGCCTGCTGCTGCCAGGGGGAGCCTTTGGCTGCCATGCTCAGTGCTCCCAAAACGTATCTGGCTTCCCAACAATAAGTGTTAATCGGTCTTAGGAACCCTGCCTGCAGAGAAATGCTGAAAACCTCGGTGGGAGAGTTAATTTGGCATCCTCCCTCCTGGTGAATGCTTGTGCTGAACAGTCCGTCCAGGCCTCCTGGCAGGTCTTCTGTGGTGGCTGGAAACATTTGACCTGTTAGAAATGGAGTATGCGTCCCCAGACCATCCCTGTGCAGGAAAAATCATGCCATCTCTCAGTATTTTGGTGGGTGATTTATCCTGAAAGTCACCTTGCTTGGTTCAGCCAGCTGAGAGGACAAAATAGTCCTCTGTTTCGACAGGCAGAGATGGAAGAGGTCAGAAGGTTGAGTGGAAATTTGAAGAACTGGCCTGCAGCCAAGCTGGAGCTTATGGAGGGGGGCTAAGTTCAGGCTCATTACTGCAGAACTTCTGTAAGGCCTTTTGTAGGGGATCTGAGGTCGAGATGACAGAACTGAGACCTTTGATCTACCTTGTGGAGCCTGAAAAGCTCTTTCCACAGGATTTTTATCATGAGCTCAGATGCAAGAACTCAGATGAAGGGAAGTTCTTACAGGAGCCTGGCAGCACCCCAGTGTCTCCAAGTATTTCTGGGACACCTTAGTCTTTTTTCATTCACCAAAGCAGCATGTTGTTTGCACACGTGGCCATTTCCATGCTACCTGCTAGCAATCTTTGTATGCTCATGTCTCAAAGCCACTATTACAAGTCTCTCATTTTTCTTTTCCACCTCCTGACTTATTTCTTATTTGCACAAGAGCTTTTCCATTACAGGGGGGAGCTTAGGGCTGCTTACTGCTTTTGCAGACTGTCATGAAGCATTTCATAATGGAAAGGCTAGGGGAGCAGCAATGTGGCTAAACCAAGGTTATATGGGAATATCACTTCTATGTCTGGCTGTTCATCTCCACACTGAAATGCAGTTATGCAGAACATAAGTATTTCCCTTTCGTAGGTAGCCTCACCCTAAAATTTTCTTTGCAGAAATGAGGTCCTTGCTTCAATTTCATTTCATACCTTCCTTTTGCACATCTCTTTCATAGATGTGGCACATAGTCAAAGGAAAATGGAGAGGTGACTTCATTGCTGGAAATCTTCACACACTAAAATACCCCTAAACTAAGAATGAAAATGTTTGCCTGAATGAAAATGGTAATGGTCCAATGACTCCTTTACCTTTTGTCCCCTGAGTTCTATGGATTCTACCAATCACCCAGGTAACAGTTGCAGCCAGGAGAAGGTGAAATTAAAAAACAGAAGCAAAACAAGCCCTGAAATATCGGAACAAGAAATGCGCTTCAGATGCTGAAGCTCCCTATAGTCTTTTTGTAATTTCACTGCTATTTCTTCTACTCTTTTCATGACTAAAAATCTCACAGTTAATCTAATGCCTTCCTCTGTGTTGACTGGTGAACGATTCTTCAGAGAGGGAAGAATCTTCCACCACGCATCTCAAGCAAGCACTGGTGCAGGTGGGCACACCATCACTGGCAATTCTGTACGATCAAGAGCTTTTAGCTTTCTTTATTGTAGTAAAAGAGCACCAAATAGTATTGATTATCGAGTGAGGAAAATTTCTCCTGGAGTATCTTCCTTCTGTTCTGCATTTTCAGTGCAGCTTCAAAAAAGCATACAGGTTCTTCAAATAACCGAAGTACTATACTTTCCTTACAGGAATAGGTTACCCAGCATGAACTTTGAAGCAGAGATTCTGGCAGATCCACACGATAATTCAGGTATTTGGGAGTAAACAAACAAACAAACAAAAAAAAAAGAGATAAAAGTAAAATGCCCATTCACTATAAATATATCTTAATTCTCTTGGCAAGAATTGGAAGTTGTTAAAGGAAGAAAGAAACAGGGTGCTACACTGAATTCAGGGGATCTGTCTGAGATAGATATTGATATCTGTACCTCCAGTTGGGCTGGATGTTGAATCCCTATTCATACCTCACAGAAACACAGCAGCCAGGGACACTTGGTTTTGGAAACAGCATAGGCATCCATGTAAGGTTGAACAGTCCTATACAAGATGTAAAGCATTATCTTATTAGCAGCAACTAAAAGCAGAATTTAAATAGGCAATGCCTGAGAAGGCAAAAATGAGGATGAAGATGTTCTGCTGAGTCCTGTCCTTCATCCTCACTTCAGTTAGAAGGAAATTAGGTTAGGAGCTGATTTTTTTCCCTTCTCAACGCTACCTTTTCAGTGCTGATCTCAGATGTTGAGGTTGGCACTACTGCTGCATCCTTGATGTAGCCATCTGTCTGAGATAGACCCCAGAGACAGCACTTAGCTGAACGGCATCTTTGAGTGAGCCTGAAGTCTTAGTCTTATCACTACTCCTCAGACTCAAGCAGCTGGCCAGTGCTTGTGCCCTGGCAGGAGCAACATCTTTAGGATAAGACATCAGGAAAGCAGGTTTTTGCAATAATTTCTTGTAGCCCCTTGAGTTGCCTGGGCCTTGGTTCAGAGCTGCAAATCTTAGTCCTGGTGTGTAAGTATGAGCCCATCCAGCTGAAATGCTTTTGCTGCCGATTGCCCTCATGGCCACAAGCCATGGCTCCCAGTGGGAATTCACCTCCCTGGCAGTGTATTGCAGTCCCATGTCAGTGAGAGCCAGAAATGAGGCACACGGAGTTAACTATTTTTGCTTCAGCTGCAGGTGTGCATCACCCCTAATAGCAAGTGTGTCAACAGCTGGGGGTTTCATTCATCCTGTCCAGCATGTGTGAGAACCACAGCCTTTCCAGAACCTCCTGAGCAATCGTCTTCACCTTCTTGCCAGAAATACACTCCCTTTCTGCAAACCAAGTAGCGTCCAGCTAAACACCTCCAGGAAATTATGGGTACATCTTCCTCAGGGCAACCTGCAGTAATGAGCATCACTTTACATGCTGGTGTCAAAGGGCATCAAAGAGTAATTTTTGTATCTTTAGTGTCAACAGACTGAATTTTCACATGAGCCCATGTGCATGGATGGCTCCTGGGCTATGTGACCTCTGCACCATCTTCCCGAATCTCTGGCTTCTGTTGGGTTGGGCTGGGTTTGGTTTGGTTTCTTCCACGAGGTAAGTGCTTTAATCCTTCATTTGCCTGGAACTCACTAACACACCATTCATATTTGTTTCTCAAGAGCTGTATGTCATCCCTTCTATGAGAAGTCTCACGGCTGAGGAATATGTAGAGGCCTTTCAGTCATTTTTGGATCACTCGACAGAGCACCAGTGCATGGATGAGTTCAACAAGGAAGTGATGCCACACATCATGGCTGGGTGAGGAGTGTGTCCACTGAGGTGGTAAGGCCATCTGTGACCTTGGGAGGGCAGCCTGCCTATAATGGTTCAGCAAACATATTGGAGGATGAAGGGTTTTCTGGAGCATGAAGGAACTTTTAATGCTTTTAAGTTCTGATTCCATTAACAGCAGCCTTTCAAATATTCTGTTTAAGTGCAATTTCAATTAATACCCTGTGCTGCTTCTCTGCTTATGTAAAGGAAAGAATCAAGACCTTATTTGCATGTCCATCTGTTTCATTAGCTGATTTTCCAAGGATTAAAAGTGTATTGATTTTTTTTTTTCTCTTTCTTTCTTTCTTTCTTTTTTTCCTTTTTTCCTCTATCTCCTTATCTATCTATCTTTTTTTTCCCCTGAAAGGAAGCTTCCTTGTGCTCTCTTCCTGCTTTCTGGACTTCCTCACACATCAGTCCAAAAAAAAAACCATCTCTAATTCCATTCTAATGACTAATTCTTGGTTTTCTCAGTCCCCTAAGACTCCTTATTTCTATCCTAGGTTGATTTGCATTGCTTAAGCATCAAATGATAATCAGTTCTGTGAAGTACTGATGTAATATACTAAGCCTGTGTGACTATAGATAGTTTCAGAACAAACTAGATCCAAGCTACAAGACAACAATTTCAAGTCTGGATAATTGCTGGATATTGTGGAAATATGTTCTCCTTCGAGAAAAAAAGCAGATAACTCCAGACCAGACACTTATATGTGTCTATCTATCGATCTATTTCTCAATCGATCTATTTATCTAATGCAATATAATAATTGTAATAATAAAGAAAAAAAAAATTGTTTGAGGAAATGTTAGAAGAAATATTTCTAAATATTTCTTAATGTGAGTTTTAAACAATTTTGTTTGCTGGACCAATATAAAATGTTGCAGCTTAGTAGGATGCTAATGAATATGCAGTGCAGAAAACCAAACTTGTCTCCCAAGGGTGCAGAGATTTGCCCCGTTTTGCCTTGTCCCCACAGCCCCAGCCAGGCACAGCTCTGCTCCCTCAATGGGAACTTCTCGCTCTGGGTTTTCTTGAGGCCTTTATGCGTGGTGTCAGCCATAGCTTGAAGAAAACTCTGGCAGGGGAATAGAAATCCTATATCCTGCTCCTTACTGTACTTTGAAATATGAGCCTGCTCATACAGGGTAAGCTCCTGCCATGTAGTAAGTTATAGCTGAGTTCCAAAGGGATGCTCAGATTTCATGTGGCACGTCTCAGTTAAATTGGGCCAGTACGGTATCCAAGATGTTATAATTAAAATATAAAATTATGTGACACACTGTGGTTGAGTAACATGTACTTATAATTTCAGTCTCGGCAATGGAAAATCGACTATAAACATCCTGGGAGTGGGGAGTGGCACAGGTAAGGAGCTGAACAGCACAGCAGGTGCTGGAGAATGGTGGTCCTTGGGGAAAGGGAAAGTACTACCCAGGTGTTGAGCTATGGGGAGAACTGTTCATGTATTAATAACAATATTTCTCGTGGAAGCTTCTTGATGACTGTCATCTGGCTACATGTGTCTAAAATCAAGGAGTCTTTCATCAGATTAAGTAGGAAAGCATCTCCAAATCTCACTGGAAAGACTTTGAGCGTCTGGGAGGTTGTTCCCACCCAAAGGTCCCGTCTTAGAGCCTCCCACTCACAGGCACTTCCCACCTTATGTTGCTTTCGGGGACACGAGGGGCTGTGGAGATGGACGTGGGCTGGCCACAACCAACCAGCATGGCACTTAGCCAGCTTCTTCAGGATGGGTTTCTTTGTTACAGCTCTGTCTTATCCAGAGATTACTGGAGTTTAACTCTAAATGCTATTTCCCCCCAGAGAAGAGCAATCTTTTGGACGAAATGGCTTTAAAGCTGTTCTAAATGAACAGTGAAACATCCAGCTTTGCTCCCAGGGAATCTGGAAAAAAGTAAAAAAAAAGTAGAGAAAAGAAGTAGCAGTTCAATTTATCAGAGTTTGATTTTGCTTTAAAAAGTATTTTCAGCTGAATTATAAGTGTTAATACTTTCTAGTGAAAGCATTTTTTCTTACTTTTTCTGCTTGTTTTCCTGAGTAAGACAAAAATAATAGAAGCTGTTTTCCCCAGCTGGGAATATGTTGGAGCATATGAGAAAACAAGGAGGAAGAAATCATTCAGTTCTCAATTACACTTCTTTCTCATTATGTACTATAACTTTGAAATTCTGTCTGGCTCCAAGAAAACACGAGGGAAAGGAAAACCCTTTACATTACCCACATTTTTCCTTATTTGCTCTTCAGAAGAACTTTCAGTGAGAAAGTAAAAGCCCTAAGACATTCTAGCAGGGATGCAGGCTCCCATCTTGCAGTGCCAAGGCTGCTTGAGTCGAACCTGCGCGGGCGGCATGGGAGTGAGCCAGCATGGCACCAAGCAAAAGGTCAAGTGTGATCCCTGACCTTCTGAGGCTTGGACTCTGATTTCACACGGCCTGAATCAGTGTAGTCAACTGAACTATTAATGGGGGTTGTGACCTGCTCTGCATCCTGAAAGGCTGCTGCTTGATCCCAGTCACGCTTTCTCATTCAGCCCATGTTCCCCATGGCTGGTGCAAGCATCTTGGCTGTCAGCTTGGTGAGGATCAGGCAGGCTGTGGTTTGCAGGGGATTTCACTCCTGCTTCAGCAGTGCCCCAGTGTGGCTTGTGCTGAAGGGCTGTTGCTGGCAGCTTCCTTGCTTTTCTCCAGGAGTCACATGAGCCTGAGAATGGGAGAAATCTTGAGCAGCATCACTTGTGTCAGCTTGTGTTGAGTTGCCATGGTCCATCATTACTGTATCTCAGCATCTTTATATTCAAGCTGGCTGTAATTTCCCTCCTTGAATTCTACTTGCTATAACAGCTATCGGAGATGTCAGTTCTTGTCATAGTCCAGAAGGTCAGAGAAGATACAGGATCTGGTGTCGAGTGCCCTGAGTGTACAGTTTGCATGGACAGGACAATTTCTAGGCCCCACCCTCACCAGCAAACAGGATTCTCGCAGAGAACCACTCAAGGTGATCATCTCTGCTGTTTCTTTCCATAATTCCAGATGAACCAGATGAGTTTTGAACACTTAGCACATCATGGCCTTTCTGGTAGGAGCAAAGGTGACCTGCATCACCTCAGAAGGCACTGGGGATTTCCTAGGACAACAAGACAGGCTGATGCTTATTCCTCCAGAGCTCAGACTGTCTTGGAGGAGCAGCAGTAACTAAATATGAAGGGCAATTACATGATGCTCAAGCTGCAAATCTGTGAGCCTTTATTTGTAGCTCCAATACAACAGCTGGATAACGGATGCCCAGACCACGTGGCCTGACTCCAGAGAGGACTGACCCACTGCATATCCCCAGCTCTCCAAGCAATGTCACACCTGTGACAAAGCAGCTGTCACCTCCCCAGGACAGCACCAACGTCAAAGTTGCACGGCTGTGTTGGCTCTCTCCTTGCTCCTCATTCTAACTCTGCATTTTTCTCAAAAACTTACGTTTCCTATTGTTTTAAAACACTGATCTTTGATTATTTGAACCTGTTCCTCCTGTGACCCAGAATATTACCATTAGTAGGTTTCTGCCCTTTTGCTTATCTCTTCCTTATTCTTGGTATTATCTGCAAATAATGTTACCTTGCCAGCTGGGGCACTGGCATCCTTTCATCACCACTCAAGTGTTTTTAAAAATAACAGATTTGTGTTTATTGAATAGGTGAACAGGATCTAAAAATGATCCAAATCCTGCAGGCTGCACATCCAGGGGTCCTTATTAACAACGAGATCATAGAGCCCAACCCACAACACGTGGCTGCCTACAAAGGTGAGGCACCTTGGGCTCCTCTGCCATCTGGGGTATGGCCAAGACCATTGATTTGTATGATCATTTTTTATGCTGTCCTGTGAAATTTGTGTTTTGTTTCTACTTTTTAAACAGAGCTGGTTAATCGAGCTTCAGATCTGCAGGGGGTCTCTTTTACTTGGCACCAGCTTACTTCCTCAGAGTATGAACAACAGGTGAAAGAGAAAAACACACACAAGAAGTTCGACTTCATCCATATGATTCAGGTAAGATATACAGTACTACTGGTTTTAACTACTTGGTGAGTATGGTGTGATATGGTGAGCTGTGCAAAGAACTTGCCTAAAAAAGTTAAAGGGATGCACACATCTCCCAGCCACAAAACTGGCAACGATGGGAGGGAAGCGTCAGAGAATTGGTGTAAAGCACCAGCTCTGCACAGAGTGTACAAGCCTTACAGGGCTGGAGTAGGAATAACTGCATGCAGCTCTCCCTTCCAGATGCTGTACCGTGTGGAAGATATTCCTAACACCATCAAGTTTTTCCACAGCTGCCTCAACCATCAGGGTAAACTCCTGATCATAATTCTGTCAGGTAAGAGAGGCCTCCCATTTTTGCATCGTTGCTATGAAGTATGAGAGCCAGCAATAATTGCCTTCGGATCTCAGTAGCACTAATTCTATAGCAGTTAAACAAAACAAATGTTTTCATGGGCTTGGACTCTTGGAACCCAATGTCTGATGTGACCACACGGATATAACCTGCATGCTTTTGCTTCCCTGCAGTAGATGAATGACTGTGAAATTATTGCCTAGAGAGAAGTACAGCTGTGCCTGGAAGGAGGCCAGTCCTTGTTCATGGTGAAATGAGCACCATGCAAAGACAGCCTGAGCTCTGGGGCTTTTCTCTCCACACAGCAATGGCCAAGACTCAAGCAGGACAAAGAGAGCTGCCTAGGTCTGTGGGCTTTGGAAAGGAGGCACTTACAATATTGCCATAGTTGTTTTTTAAAAAGTGTTTTTTTCCAGTGTGTCATTCTCGAGTCCCCAGCTGGTGGTGTGGTGAATAAAACACATTTCCCCATGTTTGGCACTAAGGCTTCCACCAGCAGTAGTGGGGAGGCTGATCCGGGATGAGCTTTTTCAGGTGTATGCTTTTAGATGTGCCTGATCTTCTTCCCCTCCACAGACAGCAGCGGTTGGGCCAGCTTATGGAAGAAGTACAGGCATTGCTTGCCTTCAACTGACAGTGGCCACTACATCACCTCCGACAGCATCACGGCAGTTCTGAGGAAGCTCAGCATCAAGTACCATGTTTATGAGTTCCCATCGGGCTGGGACATCACTGAGTGCTTCACTGAGGGGGACCCAGCTGGAGGCCATATGATGGATTTCCTGACAGGGACAAAAAACTTTCTGGGCACAGCACCAGCAGCTCTGCGGAGCCGTCTGCAGGAGGCTCTCTGCCAGCCTGAATGCAGCAGCAGGAAGGATGGGAGAGTCATTTTCTGCAACAATCTCAGTATGATCGTAGCGGAATCCTAGAGCCTGGACCAACTTGCAGAGTAGGGCAATGCAATTGTAAGGCAAAGTAGAGATGGGCAGGCAGTAGAGCAGGGCTCATCCATCCCAATCTGGGAGGATGAAGCAGCCTGTGATGTCAAGGATGAACTCTTTGTTCCGCTGAGCTCAGTGAGACCAAGAGTTCACCCTGGATTTGTTCAGTATTGGGAGAATTTGTTTTAGAATGTAAAAAGCTGCATTATACTACAAGCCTGCATGGAAAGTATTTTATTATAGAATTGTAGAATTGTTTGAGTTGGAAGGGACCTTTAAAGGTCACCTAGTCCTAGTCTCCTGCAATGAAGAGGGACATGCACAGATAGATCAGTTTCTCAGAGCCCTGTCCAGACTGATCTTGAATTTCTTCATGTCTCTGGGCAACCTGTGCCAGTGCTTCACAACCTATATTGTAGAAATCTTTTTCTTATATTTCATCTAAATCTCCCCTCTTTCAGTTTGAAACCTTTTTTCTTTTTCCTATTATAACAGAGCCTGCTAAAGAGGCTAACCTGTTCTTTCTCATAGACCCCTTTTAGATACTGAAAGTCCACTCTCAGCTCTCCCCAGAACCTTCTCCAGGCTGAACAGCCCCAGCTTGCAGCTGTCCACATAGGAGAGGTGTTCCATCCTTTGGATCATTTCTGTGGTCCTCCTCTGGATGCACTCTGAAAGGTCCATGTCTCTCCTGTACTGAGGACTCCACATCTGGACACAGTACTCCAGGTGAGGTCTCACCAGCACAGAGTAGAGGGGCAGGATCGCCCTCTTCTCCCTGCTGCCCATGCTTCTTTTGATGCAGCCCAGGGTACTGTTAGCTTTCTAGGCTGGCTCATGTCTGGCATATCACCCACCAGTATCCCCAGGTACTTTTCAGCAGGGCTGTGCTTTATCCTATCATACCCCAGCTTTTATTAATAGTGAAAGTTGCCACTTTCCAGGTTCCCAACCTTGCACTGGGCTTTTTTGAACCTCACGAGGTTCTTCTGGGCCCACTGCTCAAGCCTGTCTAGGTTTCTCTGGATGGCATGCCATCCCTCAGATGTGTTGAGTGCACTACACACCTTGGCATCATCCACAAACTTGCTAATTGTGCACTCAATCCTGTTGCTGAGGTCATTGATGAAGACATTAAAGAACACTGGTCCCAGCCCTGACCCCTCAGGGACACCACTGATCTCCATCCAGAAATTGAGCTATTGACCACCACTCTCTGGTATGCATCCTCTCTGTGCTTTTGATGCTGGGAATTCCAGCTTTCTATGCAGACAGCATGTTTACATACCTGAAAATGTGTCCATGTGACACCATATGATGCCCCCATGCCAGCAGCATATATGCACTGGTTTCTTACAACAGTGCCTGGACGAGACCTGCAAGGTATCCCCACTGCTTTGCACTAAGAATGTGCCTCAGTGCGCCCTGACAGGAGCATGCTGCTCTGCACTAGGTTTTTTGGTTTTTATTTTTTTTTTTTTAATCAGCATAGTTATTTACTACCCCAAACACCTCAGCATCTCGTAACATAGACATCTTAACATTTTTTTTCCACCTTTTTGTTTGGAGAATTTCTGGATTCCGGGATACTACTTGCCCTCTGCTCGTTCAGGCAGGTATTAATTTTGTTACTTTCTTTCTACTGTTTTTTCTCCATACAAAATAAAAGCCATTTTAAAACAGAAAATGTCACATCTTGCTCTGTATACGTGGGCTTGGAGAAAATGAAGAGTGAAGAGGTTATTAAGTTAAAAGTAGAGAAATGCAAAGTACCATTTTATGGAAACACTAAGTGCTTCTTCTAAGTGAGAAAAGTGACCCTGAGGATGTGTGCAGACACATTAGCATTGCTGCAGCCCGTGTCCTGTGCCTGCCCTTGGGGTGACATCACCACGGCACCTACATACTTAAATACAATGAATAGGCTTACAATGGTCATATAGGTAAGTTGAAACCTCACTCTGCATTTTGGGCCATGGAACAAAGAGAAAAGCTGTGGAAAAATGGTAGTGTGACTTCATCTCTCTGGAAGGACCATGGCTTCATGATCTGTAAGTACTTTTTCTCTGCTGTTGGTCTAAGAAATGGTAATCCACACTGGAGAGCCTCCTTTAGATCCCCCTCTATCCTGTACCTTATGCACAAGCTTTCTGTTTTGATCCAGACTGTTCTTATTCCATAGCTGGCTCCTCTGCTTGCTCACAGGGCAGGGAGTATATGTCTGTCCTGGTGGAAGGCTATTAGCACTGCCCCAATCAACATCCTCCCTCCACTATTAATTCCCATGGTTTATTTCCAGTTGTTAGTGAAGTCTTTGCCTCTCTTTGGTAGAATAAAAATAAAAACATATATATAGCAAATATTAGGCTTCCTTTTCAAGCTTTAAAGTACCACTTACCTCATATGTTCCCCCAGATCTTCCCCAGCCAAGCAGCACTTACAGTCTCACTCCTCTGTGGAGTTTCCTGAGCATATAGATGTGTTTCCAGTAAGCAGATGCTGAAAAAAAAAAAAAATCACTGAGAACAAAATTTACTCATATCTTTGTAAATCAATGCACAAATGCTCAAAAGAAAAGGAGCACTTCAAAGCAGACTGTTCAATGACAGCCTAGGGAGATGAAATGGGGCACCCCCATTAAAAACACCGCTGCTTAATGCTTTAGCTGCAATTTTTCTTTTGATTCTTGAAAAGCAAGTCATTTAGCAAGTCATTTAACAACAACTCTTCTTGTACACCTGGAGCAAGTACTACTCCAAGCATCTATTCCTTTTATTTATATATTTATTCTTGCTTTAATATGGTATCTATTAGCTATTAGTAGTGTTTTTTAAGACATGCTGCCTTCCCACGTATAAATTCTGTCTTTGAGCTGACCACGAGGGGGCTGCAGCAGCCAATGGATTGCATCTGGCTTGCAGTTGGATGCTGAGCTGAAGGAACAGAGCCAAGCAGGCAGGCTCACACTGCTCTGCCTGGGCTCTGCTTGCTTCACTGGATCCATGCATGTGCAGGTTTGTGACTCCTGGGATAGTTTGCTACACAGAATCTGTATTAATAGTGTATTAATAGAGGCAAGATTTAGATGTGGCAGAGCAGTTCCCACAAGGTTGTACATAGCCTAATCCAGGATAAGGGCTGGTCCTTCGGTATCAGGCCATATCTCTAAAAAGGTGTTTATCACTCTAATTCTTAAATATTTTTAAAGGTAGGGTCCTGCAGGCAGAACAACCTTTTTAGAGCCCAAAACATCTTTATTATTAACCATTGTTTCTTGAAGTAGCTCACTTCCAATACTCAAGTGTCAGCAGATACTTAAATTGTGCTAGAAGATGAGAGTTCTGGTGAGGACTCATAAGATGTCTGTGGTCCAGTGAGTGCATGGTCACTCTGCTACATGCCAAACTGTGAGGAAAGCAGATGGCAAAATCTGCAATTTGACATATTTTGGTATGGACACAGTGGACAGTACAAACTACCACACCTACACACAGCTGTGTGCTTACATCCAATCCCATCCCAACCCACTTCATCCCATCCCAACAGAACAGTTTCAGACCATTTTGGTGATGCTCCTTCTGACTTGTCTCACCAAAAAGCACTCAGCCAGACTGATGTCTCAGGGTGAGCATCTCAGGGTCCACACAGATGTTCCTAATAACACCTGCTCCCCTGCTGCTTCCTCAGTCATTCAGATCAATTCTGCTGGGAAGTGCCAAAATTCAGATGCACATCCCTTCAGAAATTACAAAGCAATGGGAAAACAAACCTTACATCTTACTTCCCTACTATGAATAAATAAGTTCAGCAAGACACAGGGCCTGTGTCTGCAGCATGGCCATGCAGGGGGTATTGTGGACCAGTCCTCCTCCACTGTGTTATCTAAGGCTAGCTGTCCCAAAATGCAGGAAATGTGTTGTTCAGCCATAATTCTTTAATTTTTTTGTTCAAGCTGAAGGGAAATAAATAAATAAATAGATTGATTGATCATTAAATATGTAATCAAATAACATTTTAAGAATTGCTCCAAAAATTTTGAAGAATACAAGAGAGAACAAGCTCCAGCTGGAAAGACCTTGGGTTTGCAGAACATATGAGGAGGGCAGATCCCAGTGGGGCTTTTCTTTTCATCTCTGAGAAGGAACGAAGAAGAGCAGAACAGGAGCTTCATTTCCACTAGTCAGTTCCCGATAGTCTGATGACACTTTTGGTTAGATCTGCCAGCGAGTTTGGAGAGAAAACATATGTTTTGTCATACATCATAAGGATGGTACCTCTGGTGAATTTAGAAACGTGATAAGGAAAGTTTCAGAACTGTCTCTCAGTCCCTACTGCTTTGCTAATATTTTTTAGCACTCTGTATGTTATCTGTCAACAGCTGATACTATGGATTAAGGCAGATTACAGCTCATTGCTCCAGTGGCTGTTTTCTTCAGGCTGTAATTCAACGGGCACTTTGCCACTGACTTTGCTGTGACAAGACCAAGGCCCTTGTGTTTATGTACGCTGCAATGCTTTCCTATCTCAGAGTGGTTTTACTTTATAAGGTGTCCGAATGATCAGCTGCGGGAATAAATTATTTAATTTTATTATTTCTAGGATAAGGGCTAAGGTACTTTTCATGCTGAACAAACTGTCGGATGGTCCTGATTTGCAGGTGTTTCCTTGTAGATAAATGTTGACTTTGGTTTGTTGTGCACGTACAGATTGTGTAGTATGTCGTTTGGGAAAAGGGGAAGGTATTTGAGGAAATTCAGAGAAAACATCTACAGATTTAATACATTTAACCGACAAACTTTCTTCATCATTTACTACCAAGAAGTTGTTCTCTGATTTTCAATATTGTTTATCCGTTTTGGAAAGAAAAAAATCCTTTTTACTCTCATGATCCAACTGAAGGCAGAAATAATTAGCACTGGAGAATCAAACCACTCAGCTGTGAATAACCTTCAGTCTAAAAGCTATTCACCCAAACTTACCCCTGCGTGGTGGGACTTGTT